TAAATTATAAAAAGAAAATAAATAATAATAAAGATAAGAATTTTAAAAATATAAAAACTGAAAAGTGAAAGAGGCAAGGGGCTTAGGGTATGGAAAAAGGGTTACTAAATGATGGACCATGGAATCTAAGTTGGATATAGAACGATCCCGTAACAAAGTCCAGAGTAGGATAATTGGAGTGGGAAGAGGAAGTCACAGGAGCTAAAAAAGTTGAGAAACTGGAAAGAAAGGGAATTGATAGGTTTATCTACATGGCAGAAATTGGGATAGAAGGGAGGACTGTGAGCCAGGTGTCAGTCTTCTGTGAATGAAATTGTAGATGATGGTTATTAGAAAGGGAAGAAGAGCTGAATAAGATGAGCCTCAAAAAAATAGGGAGAATATTTTTTCTTTTTTTACAAGACAATGAGATTACTGATTTGGAAGAGGCAACGAGGAGTGCAATGGGCATCACCCCTCCCACCTCTTTTGAGGATACAAGATGTCTTTGTTTCCTAGGGCTGCCATAACAAAATATCACAAAGTAGGTGACTTTAAAGAACACAAATTTATTTTCTCATAGTTCTGGAGGCTAGAAGTCCAATTCAGAGTGTTGGCCATGTCAGTTCCTTCTGAGGCATCTGAGAGAGGACGCCTCTCTCCTATCCTCTGGTGTCTGCTGTCAATCCTTGGCGTTCCTTTGCCACTTACAGATGTATCCTCACATGGGCATCTTCTTCCTGAGTGTCACTCTGTTTCTATGTCTGTTCCCTTTTATAAGACATCACTCAGAAGCAGTCCCGACTAGGACCCACCCTACTCCGGTATGGCTGAACTGATAGTTTCTTCAAAGAAAGGCCCTATTTCTTCAAACAAGGTCACATTCACAAGTATAGGGGTTAGGACTTCAACATATCTTTCTGGGGGACACAATTCAATCCATAACACAGGGTATGTAGGAGAATAAGCAACTATCCCTAACGGGCTCCTCAGGAAACAGCGGTGTCGAGTGTCATGGATTGAATTGTGTCCCCCAAAACTGTGTGTATCAATTTGGCTGGGCCATGATTCCCAGTATTATGTGATTGTCCACCATTTTGTCATCTGATGTGATTTTCCCATGTGTTGTGAATCCTGCCTCTATGATGTTAATGAGGGGGGATGGGCTGCAGTTTTGTTGATGAAGCAGGGCTCAATCTATGGGATTGGATTGTGTCTTGAGCCGATTTCTTTTGGGATATAAAAAGAGACAGGGGAACCTCATACCACCAAGAAGCAGGGCTGGGAGCAGAGCACATCCTTTGGACCTGGGGTTCTTGGGCAGAGAAGCTCCTAGTCCAGGGAAGATTGAGAGAATACACTTTAGTTTGTTAAAGCCATCCACTTGTGGTATTTCTGTTACAGCAGCACTAGATGACTAAGACATATGGGAGTTTCATATAGCCTTTACTGAACAAAATTAATGGATGAGTTATATCTGATAGGAAACGCTTAAACATATGACATTAAGAGCAGAATCATCTGAAGCTCTCTTTCAAAATCTCACTTGCATAGTTGCTTTTCCATATCACATTACTGATCTAATTTTGTCTTTCAGGGCTTATATGGAATCAAAGAGGAAATTTTTCTTAGTGTCCCCTGTGTCTTGGGGCGGAATGGTGTATCGGATGTTGTGAAAGTTAACTTGAATCCTGAGGAGGAGGCCCTTTTTAAGAAGAGTGCAAACACACTTTGGGAAGTCCAAAAGAACCTTAAATTTTAAAGTCTTTTAATGTTCCACTGTTTTATTGAACAGAAGATAGCAGACTGTATGTATATCCTACATTCTGAAAAGCATTTTCATCTGATCTGTAAAAAATAAAAAAAAAAAATGAGACCTATGACATGACTCTAGTCTCTTAAGATTAGAAAAAGGGAATGGTAAAGAGATTTCTCTCCATTATAAATCCGTGTAGCTCTGCTAATGATACCCAGCCTGTACAGATTTAGGTTATACCTGTGAAGTATGTCATATATGTAAGAATTGCCTTTGGGTTCAGCAGAATATATATGGTGGTGTTGTTAGGTGTCATTGAATTGATTCCAACTCGTAGTGATCCCTTGTGATAGAGTAGAACTGCCCCATAGAGTTTTCTAGGCTGTAATGTTTACAGGAACAGATTTGCCAGGTCTTTTCTCCCATGGAGCCACTGGATGGGTTTGAACCACTGACCTTCCAGTTAGCAGCTGAGTGCTTAACTGTTAAACCACCAAGGCTCCTTAGAATATATATACTAATCCATTATAATATAGAATTTATGATTCTTCATACAAAACAAGCACTTTTTCTAGTATTGAAATTTCATCTTGTATTTTCTTCCAGCATACTCATTTTATATTGCTTCATTAGTTCATGTGTTTGTGTATAATCTTTCCAAAATACTTATTGTTACTACTATACATATCAGAAAGAAAATATATAACTTTATGCTGTAAAAAAATTAAAAAGAAATATCTTCAACTTTGCAAATATTACACCAATTCATATAAACTCAAATAATTGATTTGGTGTCTCTAACTACCATACAGGGAGCTTAGACCAACCTCTGGGTCATTTGTTCAGCCAACTACCACTATGCAGCTATGTTATAGTTACCAGGTCAACATAACATAATCTCTTTCCTCAGGGATCTCACAGTGAGTAATTAGGGTACCTCAACTAATTATTGATGGATGCTTTATCAGTCCAAGATAAGAATACATGTGCACGTGATTTATCTTTTAAACAAATATTTCCTTGATTCCCACAAAGAATTTAAGGCAGCTATAGCAAATATGGAGCCCTGGTGGCATAGTGGTCAAGAGCTCAGGCTGCTAACCAAAAGGTCGGCAGTTCGAATCCACCAGCCTCTCCTTGGAAACCCTATCGGGCAGTTCTACTCTGTGCTATAGGGTCGCTGTGAGTCGAAATGGACTCAACAGCAATGGGTTATAGGAAATGTATAATGAAACAAAAACTAAGAAATCAGGACCACAGTAGTTTACAATTTGACTGGGACAGGACCAGTGGGAAAAATTAGAAGGCAGATATGCATGCCTTGAGGACCCACACAATTTCAGCTGAGGCACTAATTTGGTCAAAATCACTGTTCACTCTAATAGTCTGTTACTCTTGCTATCTTAATTTCATTCCAGTCCTCGACTACTGAACCTGATTAGTTTCCCATTATTTTGTTCTCTTTCCTTTTTCTTCAACCATTCCCTTAAATGTACAAAATACAGTTGCGGATGAGAGTTTAGTTAGGGCGAGGAGAGAAAAGGGAGTCTTCTGTGGGTTTTGCCCTCTCTAAAGCTTCTGTTTGTACACCAGATTAAAACTTCATTTTAGAAAATCCTTACAGAGATGAAAAGCTTAAAAAAATACATAGTTTCTGCAGGGAATGTTCCAGGAAGAAAAACTGTATTCTCAAAGTGGGCAATATTACCCCCAAGGGAGTGAAAATTGATTCTCTGGGGGTTGGTGAGAAGAAATCTTAGATATTAAGTAGTGGAGGGAGTGGGGGAAGTGTCAGACGGCCTTAGATTACAAGGGTTGGATGTCTAAAGCTAAACCCTGCCCGACAAAATCTTATTCATTAGTATTTAACTTCATGGTGGTGTGGGGAGAAGGGAACAATGAGGAGAAAATGTCTGAAAAGGTGGGGGAGGGGGGAGGGTTTTAATAGTGAAAAAAAAGTTGAGAAACACTGCTCTACATTTTGTAAAAGAATTTGTCAGATGTGTATTATGATTCACGGATGAATCAGAAAGCATTTAATTAGATAGAATGTGGTGGGGGAAGAGAAGTGGTAACCTTGTTTTTCTCCTAGAGTAAGAGATTAGGGGAAATTTTGGATTCTGCATTTAACTACTTCATAAATCATGAGCTGAACTTTCCCTTCCACTTGTAGAAATGATTATGGATTGCACTGGTTGGTGCGAACAGTTTTCCCTCAGTCAGTAACCTACAGGTTGAAAGTTTGAACCTACCCAGCAGCATTGCGGAAGAAGGGCCTGGTGATTTGCTTCAGTAAAGATTACAGCCAAGAAAACTCTAAGGAGCAGTTCTACTCTGTAATACATGGGGTCTCCTTGAGTCAGAATGACTCAACAGCAACCCGGTTGTTATTAGTTTACACTGATCAAATTCTTAGGGTTTCATATTTTATTTCAGAATTCCATTTGCATAGGTTTTAAAATTTGATGTTTTCTACTTAAGCTTACATATGTGGTGGTAAAAAGTAGCCCTGAGATCCCTTTCTCCCACAGTCCTGGCGAGCTACTAAGCTCTTAATTGGATATATCCAACAAAGTGTGGCTAGAAATACGTTTTCTTGGGGCAGTTGGTCTGCTCCCCGGTGGATGGGCTCTGGGCAAGCAATACACCCTTCGACAGCTGAGGGGCTCCAGTTCAAAGTGCCTGCTGCACCTTGTGAGCTTGGAGCCTAAGGAGCCTTTTAGAAGCTGGCCAACTTCAGAAACCTCAGACAGCCATTAGTGAGCCAGTGACAAGGCAGCACGCGCAGGCGCCCAGACCTGCCTTCTAGCCTCGCCGGGTAGCGCCAGGCAGGCTAGGCCAGAGCTGAGCGCGACCTCGCGCAGCCGCAGTAGGCGGGCGGGTGGGGGTGTGGGGGGAGTGTCAAACGTCCGACGGTTGCTTGCCTCCGCGGGTTAACGACATTTGGTGCCGCTTTTCCCTATCGTTTCTTGGATCTCTTGAGCCATGAGCTGGGCTGCAGGAGTCCTGCGGACCAGCTGGCGAGCTGGCGCTGCGCGAGCGAAGTTCCTTTGCCCAGAGATGACTCTGTGTCCCCGCCAGGTGGCACGCATCCCCCTCAGGAGCGGCTGGCCCTTTGTCCCCTGAGTGTGGCCGGAAGTACCTCAGCCCTGGCCTCCCTCAGGGCCTCCGGGCGTGTTCCTGGAGCTGAGAGCTAGGAATAGGGGGGAGGTTGGAGAGGGAAGAGGATGGCCAAGTGGGGGAGAGGACGGAGAGCCGGCGCAGTGGTAGTTGTCAGTTTTGGTGAAGCAGCCCTATTACCTTCTTTTCCTCCCTCTTAATCGTATCTACCGTCCTCCTCCTCCTGTTATTTTTGTCAGTCCCTGTTGTGTCTGCAGCACCTGCTACCGTACTGGGGTCAAGTTCTCTATATGCCCAGTCACTACCGACCAATTCCAAATCTGGAAATGACTGGGCTTATCAGGTTTTGAAGATGGCTATTTTTGTTCACTGTTAGGTTTCCCAGATGGTGACTTTCAAGTGTGAACTTATTAAGAATTTTACTCCAGAGAAGGCCGTTCATCACAATAAGGTCTCCATTATAGGAACTGGATCAGTTGGCATGGCCTGTGCTATCAGCATCATATTAAAAGTAAGTTATGTCCTCTGTGTCAGAGGGTTAACTGCGGATGATTGTGCAGGTTGTGCCCAGTTCACTGGGTGAGTGGGGGCCCTATCCAGCCCCTGCTGGTATAGCCCAGAGGAACAGGTGCCCTTTTCTGATTGTTCCATCAGAGGAGGCTTCTTCTAATTCTTAGGAATTTAGAAGCATCTCTGTCTGAAAGCACGTTGACATTTCATCATGTGATGACAATCTGAGGTACTCCTTTGTTTGACTAGGAACCTCAGGTCACAAATTAAGAAACTGGAGAAATAGGTGGCAGTAAAAAAGAGTACACAACCTGTCAGTGATGGGTAGGGTTCTACTAACACCAAATACAATAATCTTTTAAAAAAATTTTCTCCCATTTCCTAGTCCCTGTATTTCCCTTCCTTCTTCATGTTAGGTTAGTTTTAGTGTTTAGTTGTACTTAGTATTGATGCAGCTGATAAAGTTATCTTCCATTTCAATGGCTAAAGACACAGGACTGAAAGGATTCTGATCCCTTTCTAAGATTATTACCCTGATCTGAGCCCATAAAGTTTTAGTAAATCATAATAAACTTTTTGAACTATACTTCGTTTTTAAAAAATGGAATATCTATCAAAATTCTTTAAGCCACCTCTCTGTCGCCTTCAGTCCTACCATAAAAGCCATCTCTCCATAGCTTTTAGTCCTAGCATGATTCATTGGGTTTAAAGGATTGGCCTTGGGTTTCATAATCTAGATGACCTAAGTATCCTTAAGGCCCTAAAAGCTGCTGTCAGCCGCTGCTCCGGCCAATCATATGAATTCCCCATGGCTCATTCTGTCCTATTAACTGTAATGTCTTTATCAGCAGCGTCCTCATTGCAAATGAATAATATACATAGATGAAAATCATATATTTTTTTGGATTAATAATAATGATTGTAACAATATGCTTTAGATACATTATGTAATACAACAACCCTGAAAAGTAAACATTCGTTGTAGAGGAGAAAAAAGGCACAGATTATCTCAAATTGCATGAGTTGGTAAGTATACAGATAATATGTATAAAAAAGCTTGAAGTAAACTAAAGATTCACTTGCTATCTCTGCTTTGAAGGACCTTTCTGGGGCAGATTGAGCCCCATCCCTAAAAAAAGGTAATAGCCACAAACTTCTGGATCTGGAATTCTATTAGTATGTTGCAAACTATAGCACTTGTATGTTTTAGAAACTGTGGTGCACCATCCTCCTGCAAACCCCCAGATTAAGGCTCACTTTAATCTCTCCCTCTTGTAGTCCTGGAGACCCTGGGTGGTGCAAAGTGTTAACGCCCTTGGTTGCTAACCAAAAGGTTAGAGCTTCAAGCCTACCCAGAGGTTCCTCAGAAGAAAGGCCTGGTGATCTACTTCTGAAAAATCAGCGATTGAAAACCCTGTGGAGCACAGTTGTACTCTGACACACATGGGGTCGCATGAGTTGGAATTGACTGGACGGCAACTGGCTTGGTTCGCCTGATCCTAGACTCTGCAACTTCTTTCATTCAAGGAGGTGAATATCTTAAAACTCCTTGCTGGTAAAGAAGGCATTCTTATGGGTAATTTATCAGTAGAAACTTGTGGTACAAACCCAGTAGAGAAACATCAGTGTCTTTTAAAATTACTGAATTATACTATAATACATAAACTTTCATTTCTAGAATGTGAGCTCCATGAGAGCAGAGATCTTTGTTTCATTTGGTGTTATATCCTGAGAGGCATAATAAAACACTTAGTAGCCAAGTGAAAAAGAATTGCTGAAAGCCAAATGCATATTGAAAGGGAAAAAGCACTGGATTGTGAATACAAAGATTGTTCTACTGTTCTACTCACCTTCATTTTTATAAAGAAGGAGATGAGGATCCAGAGAGATTAAGTGAGTTAGATTATAATTTTATAGCTTTAGTTTTCAGAATGCTTTAGATTTATAGACAAACTGAGAAGATAGTGCAGAGAGTTCTCATATACCCTACTGCTAGTGATAAACATCTTACATTAGTGGTACATTTGTCAGAATTAATGAACCAATACTGATACATTATAATGAACAAAAATCCATACTTTATCCATATTTCCTTAGTTTTTACCTAATGTCCTGTTTCTGTTCCAGGATCCCACATACAATACCACATTACATTTAGTTGTCATGTTTCTTTAGGTTCCTCTTGGCTTGGACAGTTTATCAAACTCTCCTTTTTTTTATTATTATTTTAATTATTTTATTTTGTTATTGTTGTTGAGAATATACACAGCAAAAGATGTACCAATTCAACAGCTTCTACATGTGCAGTTTGGTTGATGACATTGATTATATTCTTCGAGTTGTGCAGTCATTCTTACCCTCCTTTTCTGAGTTTTTCCTCCTCCGTTAACATAAACTCGCTACCCCCTAAGATTCTTATCTAATCTTTCAAGTTGCTTTTATCAGTTTGATCCCATATAGATAGATCTTAAAAGAGCATAATTCTCAAGGCCTTCCCTTGTTTTTGGTGACCTTGATAGTTGTGAGGAGTACTGATCAGGTTTTTTGTAGAATGCTCCTTTATTAGAATTTGTCTGGTGTTTTTCTCATGGTTAGACTGGGGTCACGGGCATCTGGGAGGAAGACCACAGAGGCGGAGTGCCATTTTCATCACATCAGATCCAGGGTGATTTATCACTGATGATGTTGACTTTGGTCACCTGGCTGAGGCAGTGTTTGTCAAGTTTCCACTGTAAAGTTACTATTTTTTCCACCTTTCCACACAGTACTCTTTGGAAGGAAGTCTATATGTGTAGCCCACACTTAAGGAGTAGGGAGTTACACTCCCCCTCCTTGAGGGTAGAGTATCTACGTAAATTATTTGGAATTCTTTTGTATGGGAGATATATCTCTTCTCCCCCATTTATTAATTTATTCAATTATTTATATCAGTATGGACTCATGGATATTTATTCTACACTCTGGGTTATAATACTTTTTAGTTTATTTTTTGCTTCTATTGTTCCAGCTTTGGCCACTGGGGGCTCTTTCAGTTGGTTCCTCTGTCCCTTTGACATACACCTATCAACATAGGTTTTGTTTGTTTTGAGCACTTCCTTATTTTTGGCACTACAAAATGCTTCAGACTCATGTATTTCCTGCCTCAGTCCTAGAATCAGCCTTTTTCCGAGGTGCCCTGGTTCCTTTTATTGGACAGTGGTATTAGAAACCAAGATCTGGGTGCTAGGGATGCTCACTATTTCTGGGGTTAGAATACATTTTTTAAACCATCTTTCAAAGATAATTTTTATCAATATTGTATAATTTTGCTCCATACTACTCTGATCTGTGTGAATAACTTAGATTACCCAGAAAGCATTAGCATCTCACTAAGCTACCACCTTCTTCTTGTGATACAGTTTAGACTTCTAGGCTAATCAGTTATAATCTAGTTTTAAATTTAAAGTGCTTGGCTTTGAATTTCCATTAATTAGAATAAGGTGAAAAGATTCAACAGTGTAAGTTGGAGATATACTTAAATGAGATATTGTCTTAGTCATCTATTGTTGCTGTAACAGAAATACCACAAGTGGATGGCTTTAGCAAACAGAAGTGTATTCTCTCACAGTCTAGTAGGCTAGCAGTCCAAATTCAGTGCGTCACCTCCAGGGGAAGGCTTTCTCTGTTGGCTCTGGAGGAAGGCTCTCGTCATCAATCTTCACCCGGACTAGGAGCTTGTTCTTGCAGGAACCCCGGGTCCAAAGGATGCCCTCTGCTCCCTTCGCTGCTTTCTCGGTAGTATGAGGTCCATCTGTCTCTCTGCTCACTTCTCTTTTACATCTCAAAAGAGGTTGGCTCAAGACACAATCCAATCTTGTAGATTGAGTTCTGCCTCATTAACATAACTGCTGCCTATCCCACTTCATTAACATCATAGAGATAGGATTTACAACACACAAGAAAATCACATCAGATGATAAAATGGTGGACAGTCACAGAATACTGGGCATCATGGCCTAACCAAATTGGTACACATATTTTTGGGGGACACAAATCAGTCCATGACAGAGATAATTCTAAGTACTAGAACAAAGTCATTTTTTTCTTCAGGGAATTTTTTTTATAAAGATAAAAGAACATGCAGTTATTAAAATTTTTTTGAAAAGGTAATATATTCACAAGCTTAAAAAATAAGAGTAATGTAAAAAGATATACATGGAGAAGTCACACTCTCATTGAGTTTCCATCCACCCTTTCCCCCAACATCCCCTATAAACCAAACCAAACCAGTTGCCATTGAGCCAGTTCTGACTCACATGTGTAAGAGTGGAGCTGTGCTCCATGGGATTTTCAATGCTGATTTTTTTGGAAGTAGATTGCCAGGTCTTTCTTCCGAGCCACCTCTCAGTAGACTAGCTGCCAACCTTTCAGTTAGCGGCGGAGCACATTAGGTAACCATTTAAATCAGTTTCTTGTGTATCTTCTATTGTATCTTTTGCAAATACAAGAAAATACAAATATGTTACTATTTTCCATTCTTACAAATAAAACAGCATGCTAGGACTATATGGATCCCCGGTGGCACAGTGGTTACAACACTCAGCTGCTAACCAAAAGGCTGGCGGTTCAAACCCACCAACTGCTCCATGGGAGAAAGATGTAGCAGTCTGTCTCCGTAAAGATTATAGTCTTGGAAACCCTTATGGGGCAGCTCATAGTCTGGTGAGGGATTCCTTCTACTGAATCCTTGCTTTATCAGTGTGCAGCCTCAGTTTAAATTGAAGGGGTGTGCACCACCTTCAGAGACTGTTCTACTTATTAAACAGGTTTTGTTTTCCTAATGATGATCTGAAACTTTCTTCTTTGACACTTGCATCTCTTCTAGTTTGGACTTTTATATCATGATCAAATGTTGACTAGCTCTGTTATGTCTTCTCTGAGTCTAATTAAATTCACAAGCCAAACATAGATTACCAATATAAGAATTTTCTTTCATTCTCCAATTAATCAGAAGGTACTACCCCCCCCCGCCCCACCTTTTGACTGATGTCTTTTAGGGCTTGAGTGATGAACTTGCCCTTGTGGATGTCAATGAAAGCAAACTGAAGGGTGAGACAATGGATCTTCAGCATGGCAGCCCTTTCGTGAAAATGCCAAGTATTGTTTCCAGCAAAGGTTAATATCATAGTTAAATACTCTGAATATTCTAATACAATATGAACAAAGATCTAAGATAATCTCATCTTTATTTCCTTTTATGAAGACTTCCCCAGTTCTTAGAAGTAGAGCTGGTTGCTCCCTACTTTATACTCTCATAATATGTTTAGATTTCTTTTTAAAGCATTTGTCACAGTAGATTGTACTTTGTTTACAAGGCTCCCTACACCACCAGATTCAGCTCCTTGTGAGCAGCAGTAATAGTAGTTATCACAATAGCTGTCATTGATTGCCCATTGTATGCCCGACATTGAGCTAAGCACTTTACATATATTACTTAATTCTCAGCACAATGATGATGTTTTACAGATGATGCGGCAGTGAACTGAGGTTAAATAAAAGTAATGGAGTGGGTATTTGAACCCAGTTCCATTTGACTCCAAAGCCTAAGCTGTACTTTATTTACTTGGCACTCAGGAGATTTGAGCAAATGAATGACCCAAGATCTCCCTGTTCAAGGTTCTTTTCACACCACATCTATAAGTAAATATTGCCATTTTCCAGGCTAATTCACATTTGACCTCTTACTCTAAAAATTACAAAAGTTGTTAGCAGGATTTTCTAATCGTACAAGGAAAAGGTAGTAGTAATTTCATGAAGTTAAAAGAGTACTGTGGGCATAGTAGATCTAAGCGAGACTATCCTTTGGTAAACATAGCTTTTCTTGGTGAATGAGGTGAATACGAAATGTATACTTAAATGTCAGGTGTTTTCTAATCTATTTTCTATTCAAATCTTTCCTCAGATTACGGTATCACTGCAAACTCCAACCTGGTGATTATCACAGCAGGTGCACGCCAGGAAAAGGGAGAAACACGCCTTAATTTGGTCCAACGAAATGTGTCTGTCTTTAAATTAATGATTTCTAATATTACTCAATATAGTCCCCGCTGCAAATTGATTGTTGTTTCCAATCCAGGTCAGCTTTATTTTGACTGTTTAATGAAGATTTTTTTTTTTTTTTTTTTGGCGGGGGGAGTTGGTGGGTTTATTAACATTGTAGGAAAAGAAATTAATGAGTATTAAATTCTAAACTACAAATATAACTCCACGTACTCTTCCTGTTTTATTAATGTAGCATGTTTTTGGCAGAGTTGTAATCAGTGTGTATTTACTACAATCAAGATTTCTTTAAATACTAGTCAGTATACAAGAATAATCTGCTTAATCATATGACTTCAAGGTTTACATTCTAAAGGCTATTATATCTGAAGTATCTGTTTTAAAGACCACTGTGTGGGCAGAAGTGAAAGTAGCACTCTAGTTTACTGCCTGACTCTTCAGTGTTGTAGTAGACTTTTCACTGGTCCAGGCATAAGGTGAACAAATTCAGGATATACTTTGGAGATAAAATGTACAAGACTTCTGACAGATTATATGTTGTGAGGGAAAGGGAGGAATCAAAAATGACTTCTAGATTTCTCCCTTGAGCAACTGGTTGGATCACCACCCAACCAGTTCCATTTACCTTGGTGAAGGTGCTTTTTTTAATTTTTTAATTGTGGTGAAATATATATAACAAAATGTAACATTTCACCCATTTTTATGTGTACAATTCAGTGACATCAATTATGTTTCCCATGTTGTGCAACCATTACCACTACTTGTTTCCATTTTTTTTCATCACCATTAATAGAAAGAAACTCAGTAACCCTTAAGCAATGCCTCTCCATTTCCTTCTACCACCTGCCCCTGGTAACCACTAATAAACTTGAGTCTCTGCATTTACCTATTCTGGATATTTCATACAAGTGGGATCATACAATATTTGTCCTTTTGTATCTGACTTACTTCAGTCAACTTTTTTTCAAGGTAGCAAGTATCAGAACTTCCTTTCTCTTTATGACTGAATTCCATTGTGTATATATACCACATTTTGTTTATTCATTCATGTTTTGATGGACTCTTGGGTTGTTTCCACTTTTTGGCTATTGTGAATAGTGCTGCAACGAACATTGATGGATAAGTACCTGTTTGATTCCCTGCTTTCAAATCTTTTGAGTATATACCTGGGAGTCGAATTGCTGGGTCAAATGGTAGTTCTGTTTAACTTTTTCAGGAACCACCAAACTGTTTTCCATATGGCTGCTCCCTTTTAAAATCCCATCAGCAGTGGATGAGGGTCCCAATTTCTATACATCCTTGCCAATACTCGTTATTTTACATTTTTCTGATAATAGCCATCCTAGTGGGTTTGAAGTGGTAACACATCGTGGTTTTGATTTGCATTTCCATAATGACTAATGAAGTTGAGCATCTGTTTATGTGCTTATTGGCAATTTATGTATCTTCTTTGGTGAAATGTCTGTTCCTTTGCCCATTTTTTAATTGGGTTGTTTTGTCTTTTTGTTGCTGAGGAGTTCTTTATATATTCTGGATATTAAACCCTTATTAGACATATGGTTCCCAAATATTTTCTCCCATTCTGTAGATTGTCTCCTCACTTTGTTGCTAAAATCCTTTGATACACAGAAATTTTTCATTTGGACGAAATCCGATTTATCTATTTTACCTTTTGTTCCTTGTGCTTTTGATGTCAATCTAAGAATCCATTGCGGAAAACTAGGTCCCGAAGCATTTCATCTGTGTTTTGTTCTTAAGAGTTTTATTTCTTATATTTAGTCCTTTGATCCATTTTGAGTTAACTTTTTGTATATGTGAGGTATGGAACCAACTTCATCCTTTTGCATGTGGAGATCCAGCTGTCTTGTCTCAGCACCATGTATTTCAGAAATTCTTTCCCCATTGTATGAACTTAGCATCCTTGTCAAAAAGCAGTTGGTCATAGATATATGGGTTTATTTCTGGACTCTTGATTCTGTTCCATTGGTCTATGTGTCTATCATGATAGCAGTACCAGACTGTTTTGATTACTGTATCTTTGTAGCATGTTTTGATATTGGGAAGTATTAGTCCTCCAACTTTGTCTTTCTTTTTCAAGGTTGCTTTGGCTATTCCTGGTCCCTTGCAATTCTGTGTAAATTTGAGGATTGACTTTTCCATTTCTGCAAAGAAGGTGCTGGGGGTTTTGATAGGGGTTGTATTGAATCTAAAGATTGCTTTGTGTATTATTGACATCTTAACAATATTAAGCCTTCCAATGCATGAACACGGAGTGTCCTTCCATTTATTTAGGTCTTCTTTAATTTCTTCCCGAAATGTTTTTATAGTTTTCAGTGTACAAGTCTTTCACCGCCCTGGTTAAATTTATTCCTAGGTATTTTATTCTTTAAGATGGTATTGTGAATGAGATTGTTTTCTTAATTTCCTTTTCAGATTGCTCATTGCTGGTGTATAGAAACCCAACTGATTTTTTTGTGTTACTGTGTACCCTGCAACTTTGCTGAATTCATTTATTAGCTCTAGTAGCTTTCTTGTGGATTCTTTGGGGTTTTCTAGACCATGTCATCTGCGATAGGGATCATTTTCACTTCCTTCCTGATTTAGATACCGTTTATATCATTTTCTTCCCTTGCTGCTCTGGCTGGCACTTCCAGTACAATATTGCATAGTAGTGGTGAGAGCAGGCATTCTTATCTTGTTCCTAATCTTAAGGGGAAAGGTTTCACTCTGTCTCCATTGAGTATGGTGTTAGCTGTGGGGTTTTCATAAATGCCCTTTGTCATATTGATAGATTTTCCTTCTATTTCTAGTTTGTTGAGTGTTTTTATCATGAAACGGTGCTGGATTTTGCCAAATGCCTTTTCTGCATTGATTGAGATGATCATGTGGTTCTTTTCCTTTATTCTAGTAATGTGGTGTATTACATTGATTTATTTTCTAATGTTGAAATACTCTTGCATTCCTGGAATAAATCCCACTTGCTCATGTTGTTTCATCCTTTTAATACGGTGTTGGATTCAGTTTGCTAGTATTTTGCTGAGGATTTTTGCATCTGTATTCATAAGGGATATTGGTCTGTACTTTTCTTGTGGTATCCTTGTCTGACTTTGGTATGAGGTTAATGCTAGCCTCATAGAGTAAGTTAGAAAGTATTCCCTCCAGTATTTTGGAAGAGCTTACAAGGGACTGGTGTCAATTTTTCTTTAAATGTTGGTAGGATTCCCCAGTGAAGCCATCTGGTGCAGGACTTTTTTATTGAGAGGTTTTTGATTACTGATTCAATCTCCTCAGCTGTTACGGGTCTGTTGAGATTTTTCTTTTCTTCTTGTGTCAGTTTAGGAAGTTAGTTTATGCGTTTCTCAGAATTTCTCCATTTCTTCTAAGTTATATAATTTGTTGGGGGTACAGCTGTTCATAGTATTTCTTATGATCCTTTTTATTTTTGTAGGATCAGTTTTAATGTCCCCATTTTCATTTCTGATTTTAGTTATTTGCATCTTCTTTTTTTGTTAGCCTAGCTAAAGGTTTGCTGATTTTGTTGATCTTTTCAAGAACCAATGCCTGGTTTTGTTGATTCTATATTTACTATTTCTGCTCTGATATTTGTTATTTCCTTCCTTCTGGTAGTTTTGGGCTTAGTTTGCTCTTTTTCTTCTAGTTCCTCAAGTTGTAGCGTTCGGTATTGATTCGAGATCTTTCTTCGTTAATGTAGGCATTTACTGCTATAAATTTCCCTTGGATCACTGCCTTAACTGCATCCCATAAGTTTTAGTATGTTGTGCTTTCATTTTCATTCTAAGTATTTTCTGATTTTTTTCTTGACTCATTTGGTTAATTGTGTGCTTTTTAATTTCCACATATTTGTGTATTTTCTAGTTTTCCTTCTGTTACTAATTTCTTGTTAGGCGCTGTTGAGTTGGTTTTGACTCGCAGTAACCCTATGTACAACAGAACGAAATCCTGCTCAATCCTGCGCCATCCTCACAATCATTGCTATGTTTGGGCCCACTGTTGTATCCACTGTGTCAATCCATCTTGTTGAGGGTCTCCCTCTTTTTTAGTGACCCTCTACTGTACTGAGCATGATGTCCTTCTCCAGGGATTGGTCCTTCCTGATGACATGTCTGAAGTACACGAGACAAAGTCTTGCCATCCTCACTTCTAATGAGCATTCTGGCTGTACTTCTTCCAAGACAGATTTGTTTGTTCTTCTGGCAGTCCGTGGTATATATTCAATATTCTTCACCAACATCATAATTCAAAGGCATCAATTCTTCTTCAGTCTTCCTTATTCATTGTCCAGCTT